GACACCTTTAAATGTACAAGCCACACTACATATTTTATAAGCAACAGTACTTGGAAGAAATAATGTCTGGTCTAGTGCTGGATGCAGGGTTTGATGCTGGATGCAATGATCTCTCCATGAGGAGAAGTCATAGCTGAATGTCCCAGTCATTTCTGGCCCTGGCAGTCAGGTTGTGGCAATGGGTACAATTCTGAGGGACGTGTCCCTCTCCCAGGCAATGGATGAACTGTGGGTAACCGTCAGTTACTGGGAAGGCATCCTAGCAGGAAATGCACCTCTTCAACTTGGGAGATCCAGACACAAAGGTAAGGGAGAAAGCTTCCCAGTTGGGAAGGGCGGGAAGCAGAAAACAAAGTCCTAAGCTATGAGCTAACGAGGAGGGTAAGTAGGAAGGAAAAATTAAGTTGTTGTTTAATAGGCAGACAACAAGAAAAGGAAAGAAGTAACTACTAAACTACACTACAACTAACAGGTAATGCACTATCTAAGAGGTCAAAGGAGACGCAGGCTGTGCTGTGGATTTAGTCCCAGACTATAGGCGGTAGAGAAGGAACTGGGGGGCAGTCGGACCGCATAGTGCTACATATAAAAGAGATGGGCACATGTGCGGTCCAATGGGCACTGCTGATGAAGATCCTCCGATCCCAGGCACAGGGGACGCTGCTGCACCTACAGTGGAGCACCCACAGGGACATCACTGGAAGAACAGTACTTTCAAGTTAAAATTAGTTCGTATTCATTCACATGGCCCAACAGTGCTACATTTTTACAATAAACCAGAGGGGGGGGTTTCATCCAGAAAATTTGGTTACAAGGATACAAAGCAAAAAATAGTTAATTTAGTGCCTAATTCTAAATAGCTTATTTGGTGCATCACAGATATGGCAGCTAATGAGAACTGTGTACCTAGATCTGAGGACAGAACTTGGCCCTTCACATGTATGACAGCGCACGAGTCAGAACTGGTTTTGTCAAGAAGCCTACACAGAAGCCACTAAAATACCTAACCTTCCTGTAGAAATGTTAGCCCCCACCTTCTTATATCTATTTTGGTTCCTCTCTAGTTCATTCTAACTGTAAGAGGCTCTGACTCAGACATAATGAGAATAATTCGCCTTAATTCTAGCACTGAAGAGATTTATGAAAATTGTACACTCAGAGAAGTGTGTGAAAAGATGAACTGCTGAGCCTCAGGAAAAAAAAGAGCTCTCTCAGATCTCTGATCAGGGTCAAACTAGACATTTAGACTTAAAAATAACAAATAAATCCACGTGAAGACAAAGGCCTATTGTATATTACTCACTCCTCCAGAACAACCTACAGCAGGGTGAGCGTTACATGGGAAAACTCAGTGCAAATTCACTTTCTAGCATTCTCAGCTCTTTTCTTCCAGATGTGAGGGCTGCGGACAAAGAGAAGAAAGATTTGTGTGCCCACAAATAGGCAGTAGGGGATACCTCCTTCCAAATGCACAGATTGCCACAGTTTCTTACAGAAATTCCATTAACCTAGGAACACTAAAGCAGAGGCACAGTCCCCTGCAAGCTACTCCCTCCCCATCCCACCCCATAGCTCACAAAGGAGCTGTGCTGCTAGAAGGTACCACCAAAGATGGGTGAGAGGAGAATTAGCTGTGCAGTGGGAGTTCTGACTAGAATGCTCCAGGCTTGCCAGGGTATAGGGTGACCAGATGTCCTGATTTTATAGGGACAGTCCTGATTTTGGGGTATTTTTCTTATATAGGCTCCTATTACCACTCCACCCCCGTCCCGATTTTTCACACTTGCTGTTTGGTCACCCTACCAGGGTATGACAGTCCAGAGAGCAGATTCCCCTGACTCTACCCCTCCTCTTTGGGAGGGAGAAAAAGTATGTCCTTCCTCTCTCTGCTTACCAGCTCGTTCCCTTATGAAAATGTATGTAGAGTTCAATAGGAAATGCTAATTGTATATAGGCTTTTCAGACCATCGTCCAGAATTGTATAGAAAATGAAATTCATGCTACAGGATTCTATAGGAAGACTCAGAAAAATCTATAGAAAGGATCCCATTTTCTGTTAAATTCTGCTGGGTTTTTAGAGAAACTTGTTAATTTTCTATTAAACCTTATTGGTTTAACCCTATTACATTACATTTTCAATAAGCGTATTTGATTGAGTCTTAGCTCGTCCAAGCCACAGAGCAGGTTGGAGTAAAGATTGGTCTTAAACCCATGAACATCAGTTTCTTCTTTATTTAGTTGACATAACTTTAGTTCCAGAGCCTCTGGAAGAGCTTCCAGCCCTGCAGGCAATTCTCCCTGCACACACTGCTTAGGATATCAAACTCCTGCAAAGGAAATGCACAAGTCTGAATTCAGAACTTGACAACCATGGGAGCTCTGCCTATGGAGGTGCAGTGAGGCGGAGTGGCCTCCCACTGAGCCAAAGAGGGAGGAGCCACTCGTCGATTCCCTGGTGGGCGGAGCCAGGCCAGGCTCATCCCTCTCACCAGAAGCTAAGGTGCAGGACAGGAAGTATAAAAGGCGGGGTCTGTAACCCAGTTGAGTCTGAGCCAGATGTCTCCAGCCTGCTGCAGATCCCCAGAGCAGAACCCATGCTGCACCACGCCCTGCCCCTGGAGGAGGCCAACCCAGGCGAAGAGCTGCCAGGACTGCTGCTTGCCACATACCCCGAAGAGGTGGGGAACAACCCCGAGCCACAGATACATGATGGTGGGAGAGTAGGAAATAGCTCAAGGAAAACCGATTATAGTCTGGTTGTGTTGCTGCCCAAACACCAGTCACCGTGTTTCAGGCGGATCCCCGCTGACCCAGTGGTGGAACACTCTGCCACTGTTAGGTCCCTGGGCTCAGATCCGGTGAAGTAGGGTGGGCCCAGGTCCCGTTACCCCATGCTGCCAACTCCACCCCTGGGTGGCAGCCTCCCCACCTTAGGCCAAGGGGCCTGCGTTTGTCTGCCATTTGCTAGAGCTAGGACAACAGACTGTTTGTTGCTCCAGCCCTGCCTGAGGGTTTGAGCCCCTAGATTGTTTCCCTGAGGGTCTGAGCCCTAAGACTGTTTGGCCCCGTCTGAAGGCCTGAGCTCACAGACTGCTTGTGGTTCTACCCTGATTGAGGGCCTGAACCCTAAGACTGTTTGCTCTGTCCTGCCTGAGGATCTGCACCCCAAGACTATTTGATTCCTCTACCCTGCCTGAGGGCCGGATCCCTGAGACTGCTTGTTTGCTGTACATTATCGTGCCAGAGGGGCCTCAACCCCAACACTTGAATCGCTACTCTCCTGAAACAGGGCAATGCCTCAGCGAATGTAGTGAAGCAGAGTGGCCTCCCTCTGAGCCGGCAGGGTGGGGGCAGGACACCACCGCTAATACTACAGGAGGGCTAGCAAGATTAGGTTCTTGGCAAGGAAGAGAAGGGGACATTGCTTCCATCTGGGATTGTTTTCGCCAGAAAATTACACTGAGTTAGAACACAACTTTGAGAGGTCACGTTAACTACGAGATATTTACTATGGCTTTTGCAATCAGTTTAGATAAGATCGAGCTGGTCATGAATTAATCTATTGGGGCCAAGGGTTTACCGATTACCAGATGATACAATGTTGAACATGACTTGCCCCAGTCTACACTGGCTGCAAAGTCATAATTATCACAGGGTGAGTGTGACACGATACACCCCTGTGTTCACACCTACAGAGGTGTGATTTTTGTACAAGGCATGTCTTGTGAGGAGTCATTTAAAAACTCATAATTTGCTGGTCAGTATTGTCCTGGTAAAATATGTGTGGCAACACTGTGTGAAGTTATAAGATTCCCCTGTATGGTGTTATTAACACATATTCCAAACCCCACAGTCCTGCCCACATAGAAGCTGGCAAATAGGTCTGTCCTAAACAATGGAATGTGTGATTGGCTTAATTTGAATTTAACCAATAAACAGAGTCATCAAGAAGAAAGGGAAGACAAAGGATGTTCAAACAGATAAAAAAAACCAGCAGGAAACATCCTTCCACATAGGCTCTGTGGCTCCTGGTGCTCAGCTGGAAATGTTTTTCCAAGAGGAGGACTGAAACTATAAAAAGGAGGGCCAAAATCCCAAGGCACCCCCTCTCACTCCCTGCCTATTGCATTCACTGCACTTGAAAAGACAAAGGAAGCAGCCATTGGACTCTGGGGGAGGGATCTTGACCTAAAGAGTTTGGTTAGTCAGATTGCTGAAGCATGTGAGAAAATTTTGTTTTGAATCTAATATAGTTTGTTAAGTTAGGCACTAGTAAGCATATTACTTTTATTTTTCTTGTTAACATTTCTGACCTTTATGCCTCATTACTTGGACTCACTTAAAATCTCTCTCTTTGTAGTTAATACACTTGTTTTACTGTTTAGTCTAATCCAGTGTGTTCAAGTTGAAGTGTCTGGGTAAATCCATTTGGAGTAACATGTTGTGTGCAAATTCCCTTAAAAGGAATAACGGCCTTAACATATTTGTACTGTCCAGGAGAGGGCTGGGCAATACACGACATATGTTTCTGGGGGAAGATCTGGGACTGGGATTGTATTGGTGTCACCCTGCAGCATAACCAAGGCTGGTAAGAGCCAAAATCTGGCTGAAGCACACAGACATAGCTGGAAGTGACTTACATGCAGGAGGCTGTTTGTGAGGAATCCAGGTTGGAAGTTACAGCAGCAAAGCAGTGTAAAGGGCACCCCAGGTTAGAGGACCGGGGTGACACAACTACTCAGTCTGCACAGTTAGTTCACCTAACTCCTCAATGTCTTGCTCTAATTCAGTGTAATTTCCTAGGCTGAACCCTTCTTTTGTGCTTTAAAATGTTAGACCCCAAATCAAGAAAACAGGATGCAGAGACACACAAAACCAGAAATAAAGATGAATATTCTTTTGCCAATAGCGTTGCAGCTTACTTTTATCAAGAATGGACCTTTCCATAATCTGCATTTGATACAGATCATTTGAAGAACAGGAATTTGTAAAGAACGTACCTTGAGCAAAGCATGGAAGAGGAGAAACTACAGCTCTACAGGTATGTTCCAGCCCACTGGAAAAGAGAAAAATAGTCAAATTACACAACAATGTAATGCAGCCACTGGAAGAATAAAGTGCAAAATGTTCTGTCAGCTCAAAGTAAAAAAAAAGGAACTACCACCCTGGGCCATCTGTGAAACCTGGCAAGCATCTTTCTTCCATTTTCTTCAACTAGTAATGTTATTTTTAAAAGCTAATAGTCACCATTTGTCTATGAATCATCTGATATGAGGCAACAGCATCCAAGTCTATATGAAACCCAAGGCAACATCATCTGTGTTTATTATTCTATAAAGAGCAGTGGTGCCAAGTTTCCTACAACACCCACTTTAGACGCCGAAATCCAGAGGACTGAATGTGCTGCTGTTAGCGTTTAGAGACAGGAATACGGTTTGATCTAATACATCAGACAAAGGCTCAGTTGGTAATAAGATGGAATTGGATTCCACAGCAACTTAAAATAGTGCCAGATACTAAAAGCACCTTATGTAACTCATACCAGATAATTCATATTTATTCTCTTCAATTCTATTTCTCAAACTGGTGTTTTAAGCATCCTAAAAATACCATGACAGTTCACAGATAGCAGTGAAATCCTTCTAGCTAAATCGCATTAATGCAACTTGATTGATGTGTACAAATGTTTTATTTAACTCTGTTCTTACATTTGCTGCTACTGCATCACATTCAATATGAAATTATTCATGAACAGCTGTAATGACATGGGACTAATATCAGCACCGTGGCAATTACACTAGTAAATAGAGATTAATCTACCTAGGTTCCTGCCAGTACCTACCATTGGACAGCACACCAAGACACAGAGGAATAAAAGGATATTGTGGATGTATTGGAGAACATCTCTCTGATGATTCTGCCCGTGACAGCTCCATAGAGTGCCTTCCTCTGCCAAAGGGGTGGGGTTTTGCATGGCTCTCTTTCCATAAGGGGGTGAGTCAACTGGACGAAGAGCTGCCTGAATAGGGTGTTAGAGCTTAGCTGCTATCTACTCAGGTCCATGTAGATGTTGCAGTGCCTCGTACAGAGTAACACATTTGGGGACCCACCTAGCTACTTGCAGTCCTGCAACCAGGCACTTCTCTGAATGCTTTCCTGCACACCCATGCCACCACCTACCTGCAATCTCTTCTAAGGCTGTAGTAGCACCCCCCTACACACATAGCCAACCAACCTTTTGCAGGCTCTGAACCTCTGGTCACCCACCTAAAATGAAGTGAGTCTGAAGCACAAACTCCAGACAGGAATGGTGGGAGGCCTGTTGGGGAATTCTTTCTTCACTGTAGCCTGCCAGCATGAAGGACAGGGAATCAAACCAAGGTCCCAGCCCTATGTGGCCACAAATGTAAAGTGAACCCCAAAGCCTCCCCAGGGCCTATGCTCAGAGCTGTTGTACTGATCTTTGCTAAGAAGCTTCAGGAAGTGCAGAAGCCCTATGTTTGTATTATTATAGACCTAGCTCAAGATCAGGGCCCCATTGTGCTAGGCATGGTACATAGACAGAGTGAGAGAAGTCCATCCCCACCCTGGAAGGTTTACAACCTAAATAAATAGGCAAGACTGACAAAAGTAGAAGAGGAAACAGAAGCTAAGTTAAGTGACTCATCCAAGATCAGACAACAAGTCAGAGGCAAAGCCAAGCCAGTCAGAATTCAGGTCTCCTGACTCCTAGACTTGTGCTCTATTCATTACCCCATGTCATTGCTCAACTTACATACCCCTTCTACTTCCACTAGCAGGAAGAATTGTTACACTTACCAACAGGGACCCCAGAAAGCAATACGAGGGAAATCTAAGATACGGTGCATGAACATGGGAAGGGGTTTTGGGGGAAGCCAGCTGGTATGCTACATAAAAGCGGGCTCTTTTCTTCACTGAAACACACTCTCTGCTTCTGTGTCCCAAACAGTCATTCTACAGGTTCTCATGGACCTGGAGCAGCTACAAGGTGCCAATTTATACCTTGTGGGAAAGGCACTGGGATTAGAAATATGCATTCAGCTGGACACATTGGTTGCCAAAGCATGTTCACTGGCCAAATTTTCCCTTTCCCTTCAAGAAGAACATGGAGTCTGGTGGCACCTTAAAGACTAACACATTTATTTGGGCATAAGCTTTTGTGGGTAAAAACCTCACTTCTTCAGATGCATAGAGTGAAGATTGAATAGATGCAAGAAGGTTTGTCTGTGAGATTCCAGTAGGTATAGTCCATATACACAAGTAGCAAAATCCCTGCGCCTCCACCCACACTCACCTGCAGCTTGATAAGTGCTTTCCCCAGTTGGCAGATCAGAGTTGCCAGCCCTCCAGGATTGTCCGGGAGTCTCCAGGAATTAAAGATTAATCTTTAATTAAAGATTATGTCATGTGATGAAACCTCCAGGAATACATCCAACCAAAATTGGCAACCCTAATATCCAAACATGTCAAAAATGCTTCTACCCTTTCTAAGATCAGCGGACATGTTTGTCTGATGTTGAAATGTGTCTGTTCCATTTGGCTATTCCCCTGTAGATCAGAAGAGGCAGGTGGGTTGTTGCTATGTTAGTGTGTTATATGCCATAAGCAATTCTTCCCCTACTAACACCTTGCTCTGTGCAAGAAGTAAGGTTCTTTGGCCCTTTCCTCTCTCCTGTGTGCCTGGCAAGCTACTCTGGCTCATGACCGGGGCGGGGGGGGGGACTGGACTCCTCATCCCTCTCTGCTTCCACCCACAACTTGCTGACATCAGGGAGTATCACCACAGCTAGAGTCATATTCTGAGCAGAGGGCCTTAATCCCTTTCTCCTAGGTGTGTGTGGGTGAGTGACCGCTGTGACAACCTAACCTCAGCCATGCTGACTGACATAATATATAACCACTCCAATATTTGTCCTTGGTAACCTGTGAGACCTGATATCAGTACATCTCCTTTGCAGCAGATTATTTTTTTGCCCTCTTTCATTTCCTGTTTAGGATGAGCGTAGAGGTAGAGGTACTCGATCTCATCATACCTCAGTTCCCATCTGTAAAAGAGACTAACAGAACTTATTCCACCTTACCAAGGTGCTGTGAGATGCTATGGATACAAAGGGTACAGGAATTCCATCATAACTCACTTCTTACTTTTGTAGAGGCTTTTCTGGGGAGCCCAACAGAAAAGCCTCTACAAAAGTAAGAGGTAAGTAATGATGGAATTTCTGCACCTTTTGTATTCATACTTATTATGTCACAATCCCATGCCCACTAACATTAGTGGAAAGACTCCCCTTGATTTCAAGGAGTGTTAGATCAAGCCCTATCAAACCACATTTGACTTCATAAGCCTCCAAATGCCCATGCCGTTGTGGAAAATAAAGTACAAATTTGTTTTAAAAAATATCATTCATTGAAGGGGGAGCACTGAGTATGTGTTTTAATCACCAGCATCTACTGCAGGAAGCGGTCTACAGATACATCAGCTCACACTTGTAGTCAGATGTTGCTAGATGTTGGCTGCATGTGGGAGCCCTTTGTGTCCTGTCCCAGCTCTGCACAGACAGTTGGCACAGCAGACCTTGATCGAACTGCCCAATAACCACAGACTCAGTTCGTATTGAAGGCACTTGGTCAGGTTTATTGTCAATGAAGCACGGTCCTAATGTCCTGGCTCAATGGTTACAGATACACTAACACATGTATGCCCGTTGCAATTGACTAGCTCAGTTAATGGCGGGACTTTCCATTATCCCCTAGACCAACCAAAGACGACCTCGGAGATACATCTTTATACACAGATACAAACAAGTTATGAATTGCCCCGATGTATCTAGGTGCCACCCTCTGATGTATTTGGGTGCCACCCATTGCCTTGTACCTGTTGGTTCAATCAAAACATTTCTATCCATCATGCTGTCATCCTGACCTTATCTTTAGGATGGGTCACTGTGTTGCTGTTCTCTTTGAGGAATATGCTGGTATCAGGCTGTTCTGGTACCATCCTTCTGGAATGTGTTTGCATATGTGTTCTTGTGCCTAGCACTGCTTAGGAATATGTGTTTCTGCAATATTATCCCTGTTCTTTCCAGATTTTGTGAGCAGGCCCTGCCTTTTGCTCACAACTTAACTTTGCTTTATAGCAGCAAAGCTTTGACCACTACCAGTACTTTAGTTTAGGCCTCAGGCCCTCATACCACGCCTCTGATACAAGAGCTTATGTTTCAGGCCCTCTTCCTACATTATTGTTTACTGGTAAGAAAGATTTTGACCTAAAATAGTACTCATTTTTCACCCTTCACAAGCAAAAAACCCAGCCAAAAATAATAAAAAAATAAGGTTGCACTTTTTTTGAGCTCTAAGGATTTTTGGATAAAGCTTGCTGTTGAAGGCTGAGAACTCGTGTTCTATGTATATTCTGATTCCAAGAAAATGATGGACTTTCCATCTGTCAGAAGACGGCAAGATGTCTCAGATGGCTCACAGGGGGTATTATTAATAATAATAAATGTTGCCATTATACAAGCAACTCTGACATGAACTGTTCTTATCTAATGTTAGTTCAGACTGCCAAAGGAATGTGGTTTCAACTGCCTTGGCATGGAGCAGCAATTCTTTTCAGAGCCCAATTAACTTCAGTCACAAGCACACACTTCCTACGGATATCCCAAAGGATCAGAACCAAACCGGGTTACGTTCCTAAAGAGTAGAAGGGAGACCACAGGAAAATGAAATTCTGCCACTAATCTGTTAATTTACAGTTTGAAGAATGAACATTCAGAATGCCACCCACTCCCTAAAATAGCCTGGGGAGGACAAAAAACAGTAGCAGATTTTTATAGCTGTTGCACTCATCTTATTTCTGTTTCCAATAGTCAAGCAATGCAATGGTCTCTCGTAGAAGCTGACAGTACAGCAGATATTATAGTTGAGCGTGTTTATTTTTTATATGAATTATTCTGTAAATTATACAGAATTTATGTGCACTTCTAGGGCTCAGGCAAGTTGTCTCAGTGTGGAAACGTTTGGACGCCCTGGTGTAAAGTAATTAGGGCTGTCAATTAATCACAGTTAACTCAAAAAAATTAAGTGCAATTAAAAAAATTAATTGCAATTAATTGCACTGTTAAACATTAGAATACCAAATGAAATTAAATATTTTTGGATGTTTTTCTACATTTTCAAATATATTGATTTCTATTATAACACAGAATACAAAGTGTTCAGTGCTCACTTTCTATTATTTTTTATTACAAATATTTCTACTGTAAAAATGATAAACAAAGGAAATAGTATTTTTCAATTCACCTCATACAAGTACTGTAGTGCAATCTCTTTATTGTGAAAGTGTAACTTACAAATGGAGATTTTTTTGTTACATAACTGCACTCAAAAACAAAACAATGTAAAACTTTAGAGCCTACAAGTCCACTCAGTCCTACTTCTTGGTCAGCCAATTGCTAAGACAAACAAGTTTGTTTACATTTACGGGAGATACCGCTGACTGCTTCTTATTTACAATGTCACCTGAAAGTGAGAACAGGTGTTCACATGGCACTTTTGTAGCCAGCATTGCAAGGTATTTACGTGCCAGATATGCTAAACATTCATATGCCCCTTCATCCTTTGGCCACCATTCCAGAGGACATGCTTCCATTCTGATGATGCTCGTTAAAAAAATAATGTGTTAATTAAATTTGTGACTGAACTCCTTGGGGGAGAACTGTACGTCTCCTGTTCTGTTTTATCTGCATTCTGCCATATATTTCATGTTATAGCAGTCTTGGATGAGGACCCAACACATGTTCGTTTTAAGAACACTTTCACAGCAAATTTGACCAAACGCAATGTGAGATTTCTAAGGATGGATACAGCACTCGACCCAAGGTTTAAGAATCTGAAGTGCTTTCCAAAATCTGAGAGGGACGAGGTGTGGAGAATGCTTTCAGATATCTTAAAAGAGCAACACTCCGATGCGGAAACTACAGAACCCAAACCACCAAAAAAGAAAATCAACCTTCTGCTCGTGGCATCTCACTCAGATGATGAAAATGAACATGCGTCGGGCCCCACTGCTTTGGATCATTATCGAGCAGAACCTGTCATCAGCATGGACGCATGTCCTCTGGCAGGGCGGCGAGTTATATTCTCTTGTAGTGCCCAGGCTCCAGCAATATTCAGGGCTGGGGGTCCTGCTCCACCAATGTTTGGAGCTGGGTCTCTCCCCCGGCCCTGCCCGGAGCAGCCCCCGGAGCACCCCTCCCTGGCCCCCGGAGCGCCCCTGCCTGAGTGAAAGCGGCACAGCTCTCCCTGGCCTCCACTGCTGGCAGCTACAGCACAGCACAAGAGCAACACCGGCAGCAGGCTGAGGCAGCTGCTGCTGCTATTGCACCTCAGGAGGGGGAGGAGGCACACATGTGCTTGGCAGCCCTCCCCTCCCCTGGCACCAGACACCGAGGGGGCTTCCGGCAGGAGACATCTGGAGTGGACCTCCGTGACTCACCTGAGCAGCTATTGGGGCTTCGGTGAGTGTTTGACCCTGTGACACACACACACACACACACACACACACACACACACACACACACACACACACACACACACACACACACACACGACCCACCACTCCTGCAAACACTGGGCAAGGGGCAGCCCCATCCCCCACCCTCAGTGAGGCTATGGCGAGGGGCAGCAGGGGAGGAAGGAAGCCACATGTGATGGCAGTCCCCCCCCCCAGCACCCACCACCCCCTCCCAGAGCCCACACCCCCTCTTCGGCTCCCAAATTCCCTCCCAGAACCCTGCACCCCAGCCTAGAGCTTGCACCCAAACTCTGTCCCAGAGCCTGCACCCCTCATCCCCTCCTACACCCTCAGCCCCTACCCCAGCCCAGAGCCTGCAACCAGCACCCAAACTTCCTCCCAGAGCCTGCACCCAAACTCTGTCCCAGAGCCTGCACTCAGCACCCCCTCCTGTACCCCCAGGCCCTGTCCCAGCCACAGCCTGCACCCAGCACCCAAACTCCATCCCAGATCCTGCACCCCAGACTCCATCCCAGAGCCCAACCTCTCAACTGTCCTACACCCCAATTCTCTGCCCCAACCCAGGGCCTGCACCCCAGACCACCTCCCCCCACCCAAACTCCCTCGCAGAGCCTTAGGCAGGTGGGGGGGCGGAGTTTGGGGGGGGCGGGCTCTGAGCGTTCTGGGCACCACCAATATTTCTACAAACCTGCCGCCTCTATCCTCTGGAATGGTAGTTGAAGCATGAAGGGACATATGAATCTTTAGCACATCTGGCACATAAATATCTTGCGATGCCTGTTCTCACTTTCAGATGACATTGTAAACAAGTTTGTCTGAGCGACTGAC